AGAGTAAAAATCGTTTCGGGAGTAGTTCTCTGCAACTACTGGCTGGAATTCAACGAAACTTTATGGGAATCATCAATACCAAGAGGAGATGCGCATATCGTCGGCTTGTTCCGGTCAGACACTTTAACTCAGAGTTTTGGCCCTTGATTAGTAATGCATCATGCGTATGGAGTAAAAATTGTTTCCGCGCTACTTCTCTGCAACTACTGGCTGGAATTCAACGAAACTTTATGGGAACCTTCAATACCAAGAGGAGATGCGCATATCGTCGGCTTGTTCGGGTCAGACACTTTAACTCAGAGTTATGGTCCTTGATTAGTTATGCAATATGCATATGGAGTAAAAATCGTTTCCGGAGTAGTTCTATGCAACTACTGGCTGGAATTCAACGAAACTTTATGGGAATCATCAATATCAAGAGGAGATGCGCATATCGTCAGACCCTTTAACTCAGAGTTATGGCCCTTGATTAGTTATGTAGTATGCATATAGAGTAAAAATCGTTTCCGCACTACTTCTCTGCAACTACTGGCTGGAATTCAACGAAACTTTATGGGAACCTTCAATACCAAGAGGAGATGCGCATATCGTCGGCTTGTTCCGGTCAGACACTTTAACTCAGAGTTATGGCCCTTGATTAGTTATGCAGTATCCATTATAGAAAAATATTTGTTTCCTCGCTACTTCTCTGCTACTACTGGCTGGAATTCAATGAAACTTTATGGGATACTAAGAGGAGATGTGCATATAGTCGCCTTGTTCCAGTCAGATACTTATAACTCAGATTTATGGCCCTTGATTAGTTATGTAGTATGCATACATCCCATTGGCATTTCCAGATTTTACTATTTAACACAAAGTTATGGCTCTGTTATTGCCCTGAATATTTGTCAAGTTCAAAGAATATTACTGTTTATGCCATGATTAATGTATAAATAAAGCCTTATGTCTTCAGTTGTTGTGTTAATAATAACCAGTACTCGGCGGGGGATATAAATTCAACGAATTTGCTTGTTAACTTTGTCTTTTGACGTCTAATCTGTGATATGCATGCTTCATAACCTCTGATCCCCTTTCAAAATTCCATTTTATTTAGTTCCGCCCATTGTTTTCTCGTTAAGGGCGGCACACGCTTTCTATTACTTGGGGACCATAAGTCGCAATATTCAAAACATCTTAGTTTTCAATACAATGCGTATATTTACTTTACCCATTACTGGATAATAAAATTGTTGCTTTGATAATTTCAAAAATTTAAAGATCTTACTGTCCTAGTTTAACTATATATTTTGATGGGCGTGTTCAACTATCTATGTTTTATGAAAAGAAGTCAATTATTTCTAATCGAAAGGTAATTTTTTCTCTTCTATACTATTCAACATTAAATCGATAATCTTATTTTGCACCTTTTGTAAAGTTTTACTTACTAAAGGAAGTTACAGATATTTGCGTATTTAAAGTTAACAAAGGTCAGTGATAATCTAGGGAAAATCAGAACTACATTAAAAGTTTTATCACATTTAGTTGCAGTCAAGCTGGCATATCCCTTGTAATCATGTTTTTCTTCATTGCGACTAATTTTGTCTCACTTGTAAGTCTTGGTATTTGGACATTATCCTTAAGTTATTTCTAAGGACGCCTCAGTACAGGCACAACAGCTGTTCTTATATTAGTGTTGTGCAGCCGAAAAACTGAGCAATTCTTTAAAACTTACTAAGAATTTCACACAATATATTATAATTTAGTATCGATATATCGGTTTATCGTCGATATTGACCATCCGATTTCGATTTATCGTCAATAAGCTTTGTGCTGAATCAATGGCAGCTAAATAATTAAAAAGACTATGGTAAAAAGAACTTTTAATGCCCCCGCTTCCTCCGACTGTTGAGCTGGTAAATTTTGCTAGTGCAGACAAATCTGTGCTTTTGTCTGAGCTGATTTGTTCTACCGTTACGGAATTATTGTTCACAAATGCGATATTTAACTCAAAAGCCTAAACCGCTACCAAATACACGTATCGTTATTGCAATACCGAATCGGACTATTGTTGAATCGGACTATATATGTATTTTTTTTATCAAATATGAATGTTATATTTAACATTTGCCTATTCTATAATGTTCCTTATATTCTTGTGAATATTCCGTTGAAACCTATATTATAAATTTTAAACATACGAGATCAATTGATCAATTGAACTAATTTAAACAATATACAATAATTCTTCTGTTTGAAAACTCCGTTATTAAGTTATTAGTCCCCTACCGGTTTACCGGAGGGGACTTTAGGTTTACCCTCCGTCCGTCTGTCTGTCAGTCCGTCCGTCCACAAAACTGGATCCCGCGATAACTTGAAAAGTACTGAAAATATTTTTATGAAACTTGGTATATGGATAGATGGCAGTATGGAGATTATGCACGTCTTTTTCTTTTCTTCCTATGTTGAAAATTCTGGTTTCTATGGCAACAAATAGGCTGAAAATATGGCAAATTTTACACATAAACTGGATCCAGTGATAACGCAAAAAAGTACTGGAAATATTTTTATGAAACTTGACATATGGGTAGATTGCAGTCTTGGGATTATGCACGTCTTTTTCTTTTCTTCCTATGTTGAAAATTCTGGTTGCTATGGCAACAAATAGGCTGAAAATATGGCAAATTTTACACATAAACTGGATCCAGTGATAAAGCAAAAAGTACTGGAATTATTTTTATGAAACTTGACATATGGGTAGATGGCAGAACACATCTGCGGATGTTTCTAAATTCAAAATTCTACCATTTCATGTTTAAATGTTGAATTCTGCTTAAGCCGGTGCTAGGGGGCGTGGACGGTAACTTGCACTTTCCAGTACCGTCCATGAACAGGCTCAATCAAACCGAGCCTGCAACATTTTCAATTTTGCCGTGTTGGGCTTTCTTTAGGGATTCTTTATTTATCTATTTTGAGATTATGCACGTTTTTTTTTTCTTCCTATGTTGATAATTCTGGTTGCTATGGCAACAAATAGGCTGAAATTATGGCAAATTTTACACATAAACTGGATCCAGTGATAAAGCAAAAAGTACTGGAAATATTTTTATGAAACTTGACATATGGGTAGATGGCAGTCTTGAGATTATGCAAGTCTTTTTCTTTTCTTCCTATGTTGAGAATTCTGGTTGCTATGGCAACACATAGACTGAAAATATGGCAAATTTTACACATAAACTGAATCCAGTGATAACTCAAAAAGTACTGGAAATATTTTTATGAAACTTGACATATGGGTAGATAGCAGTCTTGAGATTATGCATGTCTTATCTGTTCTTCCTATTTTGAAAAAATATCAGTTGCCTTGGCAACAAATAGGCTTAAAACATGGCAAATATAACAATATTTGTGATTAGTCAAAAAGAGCTGAAAATTTTTATGAAATTGCATCTTTAATTCAAGAGTTATCTCCTCTTTAAGAATTTTGCTTTTAAAATGTTATATTTTGGTAACAGAGATGTTTCAAATATTAACTTTAGAGTGTCCTTCAGTCCGTCTGTCTGTCTGTCTGTTCATAAAAACTGTTTCCTGTGATCACTTTTAAAGAACTTTTCCAACAAGTTTACTTAAAATAGAGAAAATTGAAACATTAGTGAATGGCCAATGGCCCTTCAGAATGTTGATGGGGTTCTAACCGGTAGGGGACTTATGGATTGCTTGCAATACTATGATAATGGCTTGTTTGATAAGGCACAGAACCACATGTTGAGATTACAGTCTGGTCTACAGGAGTGTAGACCAGACTGTAAATGTTTAAATGTTCATGTTTAAATGTTGAATTCTGCTTAAGCCGGTGCTAGGGGGCGTGGACGGTAACTTGCACTTTCCAGTACCGTCCATGAACAGGCTCAATCAAACCGAGCCTGCAACATTTTCAATTTTGCCGTGTTGGTCTTTCTTTAAGGATTCTGTATTTATCTATTTTACCATATTTCTACATTTTAATGTCTATCGTTTTCGTTATCACCGGAAAGGGAATAATTTCATAATGAAATTGTAAATTATTCATAAAGATTCAGATTTCCTGAAGGTTTATGTGACTTACTGAAAAGGAAACTTAGATAAATTTACAAGAGATCATTCCTTATATTATAAAAAGAAGGGGCATTAAGGTGTAAGGTGTTGTTTCACTAACGCTAGAGGTTATTGTGAATAGTTATGTTGGCAAAACTCATCTATGGAAAAAGAGAGATTTGAGAACAGCCTCATTGACAGCGAGACTAGATGGAGTCAAATATGGATGTGTTATGGAATTGTTGGATTCAAGAAATGAAAACGAGGCTGTTTATATGAATTAATCATACCTTAACCAACATATACATGTATATAGAACCGATTTAGTTAAGAGCATGATATAAGCTTTTATAATTACATGTATAAAAATTTAAATATCTAAGATCGCCAAAATTGCAAACTTGAAAATGTTGCTGGGCCGGTATGATTCACATAGATAGAAGTAGCGAATGCAATCATCGGTCCGCACCACCCCTAGCTCCAGCATAGGCAGAATTCAACATCAAACATGTAAATTGTATAATTTCGAATTTAGTAACATCTACCAAAAACTATTGATGGCAAATAAAAAAATTAGCTTGATTACCTTTTAATCGGAACTCCTTGCTTATCTTTTGTTGACTAGATACAGAATATACACTTTCGGCCTACACACGGAGATAATGCTAAACGTGATATGAGGTTTTCCGAAATAAATATCAAATATTAGTGATAAGCTTTGTATAATTCAATACCACAACATAATACAATTACTTTGCCATTTATTTAAGGCCAATATTTATAGAATTGTTTCAGATATGATCATTTACAATTAACCTAACTTCTATGATATACATATTTAGAAGTTGTAAGAAAACATATCATAATGATAATGTGCTTTGTTTTTACACTGTTTATTCAACAACCGCACAAATATAGATCAAAACAGCTTTATTGTTTTACACCTATTCTCACAAGATAGGCCCAAGTTTGAAATTTGAGTGTCTCTGGACGATAGTAAAAAAATATACTATGAAACAGATGAGTTTTGTAATTTTTTCAGCATTGCATGGTACCTGCCTTTAAATCATATACACAATAGCTTTAAGAAACTGGTATTTAAAAAACGAAACGAACAAATAATATCAATTTTCAAGCCAAATACGCTGTCGCCGTAAAGGGTTACATGATTTAACACACGACTGCTTTATCATTTTGTCACAAAATGAACACATCTTTAGTATTTTTTGTTTGAGGACATATTGAAGTTTGTCATCTAAAATAAAGTCTGAGAGAAACACTTTGCATTCTTCTTTATTAAACAAATCTGTCTTGTCTCCAAATCCAATGTAATCTACGTTACTTAGTTTGCGCAGAAAAATACACCAGCAATAAACATATTATAAGTTGTTTAAACAGACGAAATAACTAAAAAAACATAATACAAAAGATATGTGATATAATAATGAACTCAATTCATAAAATTTGTTTACACCAAAAACACAAACTTTATATTTGTAAAGTAAAGTTAACACTGTAATCTACGTTACTGCTATTACTCAAATACTGTGGCATCGAGAGCTCTTTTTTGACCATCAATAATAAGATAAGACTTGTACAACATCTAATATTTATTTAATTTATAAAAGTTTATTGTTGGTAAAAATTTTCATGCTCATGATAATCAGGGTGTAATTTACGTGATGTAATCAACTTTACCACTGTTCTTCAATTTCGGCAAATAATTTGATTTTTATGTGTGAAATAAGGTTAAACTGTTTTTAGGTTCCGTATAATAAACTTCTGGATCAATATACACATAGTTGTTTCCCTTTGTTTTAAGTTTGCCACTTAGTTTCGTCATTTTCGTCTGCAATTTCGGTACAGAAAAACTATATCACTTAAAGTTCCTGCTATCTTCAGGAAAACGAATCAAGGTAAGGAATAAAATATTTTTTAATTACAGTTTTTAAATAATTAAATTATACATCTTAAATGTCGAAAAAATTGATGTAATACCCTAATCAATTCAAACATATGTCGCGAATATTTGTGACATAGCCCACTAAGTTTATATCATTTCTATCTTTTATTAGTCTCCAATTTTGCTTACCAAAAGATTTTGTCAACAAATTTTTATTACAACATATCTACAAAGATACTTTTATGTTATCAGCATAATACCAGATCATCTAAAATTTGATAAAGGTGTTACAAGTGTAATTCAAATGTTGGTAACGTAGATTACTGAAAAATCAACTTGTGTTATCTGCAACACAAATAAGTAGTTTTTCTCCAAATAATTTAACATGTTCCTATATTGTGGATCATTATATAGTAGTTTTATGTGATAAAAATGTTTGTTTCTAAAAGAAATAGTATAATTTAGGTATAATTAAATCATTTCTAAAAATGGTAACGTTGATTACAAAATAGGTAACGTAGATTACTTTTTCTTTGTTTCAGCAGGTATGGGTAAATCCCGAGCTGAAATACAGCGAGCCTATCGTGAGAGGAAAAAGGCATCTGAAGGAGAAAAATACTTTGAAAAAGAAAGAAAAAGAACAAGGTCTTACTATGTACCAACAGTCAAAAGATCCAAAAAGGATCTAGCAACAAGAAGAGAAAAGGTGAGAAAAAATGTCCAGAAATATAGACAAAGAATGAAGGAGCTTGAAACTCAAGAACAAATAAATCAGTCAGCCTGTATGCAAGAAGACGATAAATTGATTGTTGATGATGAAAATGGCGTCAGCTGGAGCACACCAAACCCGAAAATAGTTGTTAAGCTTCCATTTTTCGATCCAAGACAAAGAACAAGAAGAAGAATAAGTAGAGTAGTTTCCAAACAGAATCGAGAGATCGAAAAATTGAAATTTCAAAATGAAAGCCTTCAGAAAAGGTACAAAACTGTTTCAAAGAGGTATCAGCGTCTTAAGAAAAAGACAGATGACCAACCAACACCTTCTTCCTGTAATAGTAGTGTTAACGAAAATGAGATGATGCCAATATCACCAAGACAAAGTACACCAAGAAAGAGAGTAGCAGAAGAGTTAAGAGAGGCTGGTGTTACCCCAAGGAAAGTACCACGGAAAGTGCGTAAGATGTTACTGCTGGGAAGTGCTTTAGCTGAAGAGGTCAGTGGTGCTAGAAAAGATAATGGCAAAAAGGGTCGAAAAGTGATTGCAAACATATTATCTGGTAAGATAATAAAAAAGTATAAACTAAAATCACTTCTAAACAAGAACACAGGTATCAACCGGAAAACAAATTTCAATGGGTCAAAGAAATGTGACAAAGTTCCTCGTCAAGTCAAACAACCAATTGTAAGAGAGCAAATCGCAAACAGAGTGGTCGAATTCCTTAAACGAGATGACAACAGTAGACTACTGCCTGGTAAAAATGACAAGGTAAAGATAGAAAAGGAGTACTTACAGAAACGTGTCTTGAATGACAATTTGACATTTTTGCACATGAAATACATGTCAGAGACAGAAGAGAAAATATCATTCAGTACTTTCTGTCGCATGCGGCCAAAGTCAATTTCACTTACAAGGTATATTACGCGTAATCAATGCCTTTGTCAAAGACACCAAAACATGGCCCTAACACTGAAAGCTGTCCGAACAAGTTGTGCTAATGTCCCATTGAATCCGGATGAATTTATTCGAAAGGTAGATGAGAACACTGATTTTCTAAAACATACTTGTCAAGAGTTTCCGGATACCATACAGCATAACCAATGGAAAAAAGTAACATTGGATGATGGGAAAAAACGAACAAAAATTGTAATGTCTGAAGTTGACAAAGAGACATTCCAGAAAACATTGCATGAACAGGTTGCTGAATTTAGACATCACATTCTTTTAGTAAAGCAACAATACAAAGCTATTGGTGACTTAAAGAAAAATCTCCCTGATGGCCACGTACTTGCACATATGGACTTTGCCGAGAATTTCTCTTGCACAGCTGCCGACGAGGTCCAGAGTGCGTACTGGAACCAGAATTCTATTACGCTTCATCCAGTTGTGGTGTATTTTAGAGACAACGGGGAGCTTAAACACATAAACTACGTATTTGTAACTGATGATATTGGCCATAATATTGGCTCAGTGTATACTTTTATCAAAAAACTTATTCTGGACTTGAAGCAAACTCTCAAATGCAACCTACGTAAGGTTTACTACTGGACAGATGGACCCAGCTCACAGTATAAGAACAAAACAGCTTTCTTTATAACCAGTAACCATGATGAGCTGCTTGGACCCAAAGCGGACTGGAATTATTTTGAATCCGGTCATGGAAAGGGCGCCTGTGACGGCATAGGTGGAACTGCAAAGCGAATGGCTGACCAAAGCATACGACAGGGTAAAGTGTCCATTCAAGATGCAACAGACTTCTATAAATGGGCCAAAGAAGGTCACAAGACAGCAAAATACATATTAGTAAAACCAGACGAATGTAACAAGAGCAGAGAAGAATTGGAAGTGATCAATAAAATACTTTGTCCAGTTAAAGGTACTATGAAAATACATCATGTCAAAGGAGTTTCAAAGGGAGTCGTACACACCCAAACAACATCATGTTATTGTGTAGATTGTATAAATGGATCACTCCACGTTGAGTATGAGGAAAATCTACTACTGAGGGAAAAAAGAAAACCTGAAAAGGAATCAGAACATGAAAAGTGTGAAGAAGAAAATATTGATTCACGTGATAAACCATCCTTAAAGATAAACTTGGAATTAGATTCTGGGAGATGGGTTGCAGTGATATATGATCATGAGTGGCACATTGGGCAGATTAAGGAAGTTGACAACGCTGATGATGATTGCCTCGTTTCATTCATGCAACGACTGAAATGTAGAGGGGTGAAATTACCAACCTTCAAATGGCCGAACAATGCTGATGAGATATGGGTCAAGTTTGAAGATGTTCTACTTTGCATAGAAGAACCATCTAAAGTCGGTCGTAGTGGGCGCTCATTTACCATACAAGAGGAGGAGATTAGTATGATTGAATTAAAGATATCTTCTTTAAAGAACTGATTCAATAGCTTTGTTTGCACCAAAGTCATTGTTGTTTGACTTTAAATAAATCTCATTTTGAAGAATAAAATGATGTTTTAGATCAGACATTTATATTTCATTTTAGAGTCGAATGATTTTCTAGAGCATTAAATAAGACATTAACATTTTATTTTTGGACACATTATTCATCCTCAATATGAGGTAATCTACGTTACCATTACTAGTTAATTCTTGTTCTTTGTTCATTTGTTTTATTTGATGTTAAAGTAAAAGTTTTAAAACCTGGTCATAGACTTTGTTACATTTTGTATATATGATATAAAACATACTGTTTAAATGTCTTTTACAAAGTATTTTGTGGCCTTCAGCTATAAGTTTCTTATAGAAATGTATAAATGAGTATGTTTGAGTATAAACCTTTCGTTATATTGTCTCAGTCGACGAACACATTATTTATCGTTACATACAAGTTCATTTAAAGGCAGAAAATAAAACTTGGCTTTCATTTTAACTTCAACTTCTAACTTTTAATGTTGCCAAGTTAAAGGTGCATACTTTGTAATCTACGTTACAATTTCCTAGTTGTATTTGTATTGTTTAATGCTACATACAAAATATATTTTGAAATCAACAATTGTTTTAATCTTGATATTTGATGCTCATATTTCATATTAAGATCAGCAAAATAACCACAACAATGAGTTTGTTTATGGAACTTTTATTACTGATGAATATGTTTTCCGGAAGTTCTCAACCTAATTTAAAGGACAAAGTTGAAGCTAAGTGTACAGTATTATAAAGACCAGTGCATGAAATATGTTATGTTACCGTGAAAAATTATTTATCAAAGTGACTAATCGTATCAAGTGCGTAAATAGTATATATCAAAATAACTTTAATATAATCATTGATTTATTTTAAGTAAAGGTAACGTAAATTACGCTTTGCAAAAGTATTCAATTTGCTTCAGAGACTGCGCTCTCGATAATAATCGTGTTTGAGTGCTGTAACTTTGCCAGTATGCCAAATACATATTTGTTTAACTTCTTATGTCATAAAACATTAGTACAAAACAAGTTCAATTTCTAACATTTGGTCTATGTAAGATGGGCCTATCTTGTGAGAATAGGTGTTTAATGGAGAAGTGTTTATCTTAACCCAAAATTGAATTACTATGGTGGACCAGGTATAGACATATGATTTTATAGTATTGCCAGTTTTGCTTTTAAATCCGATTTGTCGTTTAAAAAATGATTCTTAAGAATTTATGACGTTAGACTATGTAATTTTGGAAAACGTAAAAATCTTAGGCAGTGTTTCCTGTTTTTTGCTGTTGATGTTTCCAATACTATCGTCAATTTTTCTAAGAATTTGAAAATAGTTCCGTTTCTGGATGTTTCAAGAAATATCAACTATAAAAGCCATTTCTTTGAAAAAGAATAATATTTTCTCAAATAAAACATAATGAATTCTTAATGACATCCGCGAATTGTTAGATTAATATGAGGTACAAAAAGAATAATTATCTTATTTAATTTGACTTTATCCCTCTTCAAATGAGCAAATACGATCTTCCAATCATATGTATTGCATGCACGCGTGCTTTAACAGTAATACATACAGAAGTGAAGGTAAACAATATAAGGTGTTATAAAATCATTTAAATATTTTGTCTGACAAAATCATTTCCTCCTCAACAAAGAGCATTTATTGAAATATATAATGGTGGTTCATACAATGATAAAAAAACGAAAGTACGAGTTGTAATGTTCGTTGTCCTTTGGAATATAAATGTATCGAACAAGAAAAGAAACAATTTTATCAATTTCTTGCAGAATAAAATGACGCATTAAAGATGGCGCGTAGATGTTTTTATTCAGTAACTTAAACATCTTTACAATTAATCTTACTTACTCAAAGACATAGCGATGCACATACAAATGTGACATCTGGCTTTTTACCAGTCTGTTTTTATATCACTGTATTGTTGCGGAGGTATTGAGACTTCTCTATTGCAGAATGCACGAGACTTTTCTTTCTAAAATATTTCAGTATGTGTATTAAATCGAGATAAACAGCTTTCTATTAAACCATAATTATTTCAAAAAAAAAAGGAAAATTAAATGAAGCTTCCTTTGAATTAAGTAAAATATTCTCAAAACTGTCATACATCTTGACAACGAACGTAAAAGTTTTAAAGATATCCTTTTTAATAGACCATTATTAACGAATGAGTGCTTAAATGGATTTTCTGTTATCCTGTGATATATTAAGTTTGTTAGAGCATTTGCTTGCCCATATTACATTATCTATTCAAAATGTATAAACGTAAAATAATTGATAAAGAATAGAATACAAACGTAAGAAGAAACATATATTTTGAACAAGTTGATTTATTTACTGGCCTAGATAAAGACGTGTTTCTGCTGATTAGATACATTGTGATAAAAGTACATCACTTCTGTGAATTTTCGTGTCGTCTTGTTTATTATTGCACTTTAATTTAAAGATGCAATATGCTCAAATTTAATGTAATTCCTAATAAGTTCCTTTTAAAATGTAAAATAAAAATCTTTTTAGTGCAGACAGGGAAGTTATGTTACTTTTTAATATTTACATATTAAGATATGTATACACGGTTTGAATAAACAGTGTCATGCTTTTACAGAAAGATCAAACTAATCATGTTAAAGATACAATTCTTTTATCTATGAAATTTATCTCGATCTAATACCCAATACTTTAAGGAAGAATACATTCGCATTCGTGTGCAATCTGGTAACGCACACACACGCACGCACACACACGCACCAACGCACACACACACACTTATGTAGTATGTTTGGTTTAAAAAAAAGTCTTCGTGTTATATGTTGAATTCTGCTTAAGCCGGTGCTAGGGGGCGTGGACGGTAACTTGCACTTTCCAGTACCGTCCATGAACAGGCTCAATCAAACCGAGCATGCAACATTTTCAATTTTGTTGTGTTGGACTTTCTTAAGGGATTTTGTTTTTCTCTATTTTATTGTCACATCAGTGTTTTTTGTGCCGTGTGGCGGCTGTAAAAAGTCTCCCCGTACATTTAATCAATGATGTTATATTTTTGATCCTTGAAGATCGTTCAGCACGACATTATTGATGTGTATACATGTTATGTGGTTCTTTTAGTTTCTTCTGTTCGGCCATTTTTAACTTGGGTGGTTCCAGTATTCCTACTTGAATACTGTATAATCACCCTTAGGATATGTTGTCTGCTTTTTAAATTTGTCTTTTGACGTCTTATCTGTGATATGCAGGCTTCATAACCTCAGATCCCCTTTCAAAATTCCATTTTATTTAGTTCCGCCCATTGTTTTCTCGTTTAGGGCAAAAGCATTCTTTTACCTGGGAACCATACGCCGCTTTTCATGGAATGCCACTCCTGTGTCACATTGAAAGTTCCACAATAACCGCCGTATGAACACATCTGCGGATGTTTCTAAATTCAAAATTTTACCATTTTCGTGTTAAATGTTGAATTCTGCTTAAGCCGGTGCTAGGGGCGTGGACGGTAACTTGCACTTTCCAGTACCGTCCATGAACAGGCTCAATCAAACCGAGCCTGCAACATTTTCAATTTTGTTGTGTTGGACTTTCTTTAGGGATTTTGTTTTTCTCTATTTTAGTGATGTATGACAATCAGAAATCATATCATTCACACATATTGTTTTTATGATAAAAAGCCTAAGAACCAGAGATAAAAGAAAGAATAAAAAAACATTCGACTACTGGGATGTTCAGTATCTGATACTATACTCTGTATGCTTCTAAATAACAATATTAAACATTTTTATCTTTTTTGGCACGCAAAAGGGACTGGGATTTGCTTCTCTATAAATAAAATAACATCTTATTTCCTTTACGGCAAAAGGTGTTTTTCAGATTATAAAACATTGTGTGTTAGAGTGAAAGGGCATGTACTTTTCCAACACGACATAGCTGTGATTCTTCTATAAAAGTTTCAATTCCTAACGTGTTTCTTTTGTCAAAGTAAACACTCTATTTAAATGTATTATATGATTTGCACATATGAAACATTTGTTTGCCATTTCGTTCATGTGATTAGAAGCTGTACAGATTAAATCTATATAACACTTAAAAGGATGAATAAGTATTTGGCCAGAATTGTCCGTTCGTGATGTTTCAAAAGCTTGATGTCAATGCCATTTTATGAAAAATCGTAGTAAGGCGATTATTATCAGGAAAATGTTTTATGACCGTCATACATGAAGATTATTTCTTCATAAACGATATCTTGAAAACTGCTCTGGAAGGACACCATTAGAATAATCCCAACGGGGTAATTGCCTTTTATTAGTAGACAATATAGTATCCGTAATACACAAGAGAATTGTAAAACATGATATTCTTTCAGAAACGCAATAACTCACTCAGCAGTATGCACACTACGAGATGATTATTAAAAGAACATTTCATGTTTTAACAGCATGAGAGTGGATGGAGTTTGTACGATCATTAGCAGTTATTGGATAGCAAAAAATGATAAATTATTATTAAGTTTACTTTGTAAATCAAAGGATACCTATGCATTAGAAGGTATTGTCCTTGATTAAAGACATTCTCGCCAAATTGAGTATTCTTCGAATATGACATACTGCATATAGCTAAACTTTAACATTTACAGTAAATAAAGTTCATGCATATAACATTTGAATTATTCAATTTATCAAACGAGTTTTTACGTTTGAAACTGGTATAAATTTCCTTTTGTTAGTATATGTTGAATATCCGTCCTTCGCATCATAGTAGGGACATTTTACAAAGTATAAAGATATCTATATATTATTGATAATATATATATTTAAAAACTTTTTGTTACTTTATACTTAAAGTTCAATTTAAATTGAACGTACTTGTTTCTGTACCTGAAATAAATATAATGTACACTTGAATTGTTGCTCGCATTTTATATTAAACAACTACATATTCTTGTCATGCCATATTGTGAACCAGATCAATCATTAGTTAGATTTCCTTTTGACATACATGTATTTTATTTAAGACTATGTAATTGTCGATGGTATTCTGTCGTTATTTAAAATACTTTTGAAAGTCATAAATTGGTGGTTTTGCAATTGTTCACCAGACAAAAGTAAATGCAATCGTGTTCGTCTTGTGATAGATTTATTACTAAGTTCGGTGTCGTTTTGATTTTATGATATAGAAATGGTGTAATTAGTCGATTATTGTCAGGAAATGTTTTAAGACCGTCGGGACTGGACATAATTTCTTCGTGTTATAATCTAGAAAATTTCCTAGGCAATATTCATTAGTTACCTCCCTACAGCCTATTGCAAAAGGCTCAGGAGACTATTAAAATGCTTGTCTATTTAAGATAAATTATTCATAGTTAAATGCAATCGAACAACCAACAAAGCAAAGCAGTAAAAACTTTTTAAACTTTAGATATACATATGTGTACATTTTCAACATCCATTATTGCTATTGTAAGTTTTTAATTCTTCGATAAAAGCGTAATAAAAATGATATATAAAGAATGTTAAATCATTTTAAGACCTATCAAATGAAAATATATTGCAACAATTTCAATTTTACCAAAAGCATGATCAATTTTGTTATTATTGTCATTAATATGGATAGTACCTGTACACGTTTTAGATTTATGATAATGATAATGAATTGTAACAATACAAGACTTTTGAGAAAACAAATAACTTGTGGTAACAACATTCTTGTATTTGGGAAAAACACGGAGAAAATATGTGCAGCTTTCTTACTAAATTATAATTTTAAAGTATGTTAGTAAGTTCTGAAAGAATGCATGGCGCATTGCTTTTCATCCAATGCAACAAGATGCAAGTATTTTTTAAACATATATTCATAATCAATAATGTTTTTTATTTAGAGAACGTTACACATAAAGAATATACAACAGCAATCATATATATCTTATTTCCAATGTGGTCTTCTGAATTAGAAAAATATAATGACTTAAACATGTTTGTTTGTTAGTTTGTTTGTTTGTTTCATTTCACGCCTTTTCCAAACAATATTTCAGTCATATAGGCGGGTAGTATACTATGTGTAATTTCTATTATAAGAT